AGTCATAGTTAACTTAAACCCAATTTAATTATTCCAAAATCTATCATAAGTCATAGTAGATCCCGAGAGCTTTCCAACCGTTCAAGAATCACTCAAATTAGACCTGTGGATCAAAAGTTAGAAGCTTAAGAAGTTCAAAGCAACACAATTATCAAAATACCCCTATACATGATGCAGTATGTCGCGGGCTTGTGTTGCACGACAAGTTGTGCATCGCGCAGTCCGATGGGCCCGGGAGTCCTAATCATTTTTAAAATAGGTTTTTAGGTTGGTTTTTGGTCCAAAATACTCTTGAAAATTTTAAAAATTGGCCTATTCTTAATCAAAATAGGACTAGAAGATTATAAGAATTAATTGCAACCCTAACCATAGTCTAAACCTATAAATACACCCTCAAATTTTCGAGAAAAATCATTCAAAAATACTAAATAAATCCCTAAAAATCATTAGGAGAATTCCCAGATAATTAGAAAACTTTCAAAAAATTATAGATGATTAGGAAAATACCCTAGAGAATTAGAAAAATCATAGAAAAATTAGGAAAATCTTAGAAAAACTCAGAAAAAATGGAAATTCATCAAAAATATCGAGGAAGATATGAAAAATCCTAAAACCCCTTGAAAATTAGGAAAAACCTCTAAAAAATTAGAAAAAATCTTTAGAAAACTTTAGGCTAGAGACCATAAACCCCAATCCTCTCAAAATCTCTCCAAAATCAAGATCAAATTCTAGGAACAAGTTCTCTCATATCCAAAATATTAGAGTTGTGCTTCAAGAAAGCAAGAGAAGGCATCCAAAGGTCAAAATGAACCCACGGTCTTGATACGGGCCCCTATGGGTTTTCTAGGTATGTGATCTTTTTCTCTTTTTATTTATTTTATTTTTCTGTTTTATTTTTCCGGTTATTTCTTTATTTTTTTTAAAATTAATTAGGAATTATAAGTTTTATAAGCTTTATAAACAAGTTATGGAGCTAGAGCTGCCAATAGGTTTATGGGAGAGTAAGATTTGTAAAGATCCACAATGCCTCTAAACCTATAATTTGAGTGATCACACTCTTTAACTCATTCTACAATAGATTTGAATTTATCTCATTCAAAGATCGACGCAAATTTGAGCATAAACAATATTAGATGAGTTGCAATTTTGGGCATCTACATATCTCAATAACTCACACATATAATATTTATTAAAAAATATTTTATAAAATATAAAATAATTAATTTGCATGTACAACTTTGAGAGCGGGTTTGGCCATTTACTTTTCATAAACTACTTTCTATAATTTCTATAAAAGGGCAAAGTTTATATAGAGCCGAGGCTCTAAACAATCAAGTTAGTGCCTACCTCAAAAATTTCATTAGAAGAGGTTGTTTTGATGCCCATATATCTTCAAATTGATCATCTCGACTTTAAGATGCATGGATATGAGAAAAAAAATGAATTTCAAGTTTTGAAAATAGTGTAGTTTGTAACACATTTTGGACTGTCAATTTTCAAGATTTTCATAGATCTCTCGATCTATATACTATTTTTGAAGCTTTAAACTTTATAAATAAAAAGTTTATATAGAGCCGAGGCTCTAAACAATCAAGTTAGTGCCTACCTCAAAAATTTCATTAGAAGAGGTTGTTTTGATGCCCAAATATCTTCAAATTGATCATCTCGACTTCAAGATGCATGGATATGAGAAAAAAAATGAATTTCAAGTTTTGAAAATAGTGTAGTTTGTAACACATTTTTGGACTGTCAATTTTTAAGATTTTCATAGATCTCTCGATCTATATACTATTTTTGAAGCTTTAAACTTTATAAATAAAAATAAAAATAAGGAAATCCACATTTGAGAAATGTGACTTTACCACACCATGGAAGAGTAAATAAATCGATCACAAAATGGGAAATGCGGATATCTCGTTTTGTGAACAGTTTTGTCATTTTTAAAATATGACAAAACGTCAGATACTTTTTCCTTAGATCTAATCAAGATGAAATTTGGATGTTATGTGTGCCACTTTGGATGGTTTTTATAAAGGGTGCGGTTTGTATAGTTTTTTATTGTGGTTTGTATAGAGCTTAGGCTCTAAACAATCAAATTAGAGCCCCCTTTCAAATAGTGTTGAGAAATGCGGTTTCAATATTGAAAATATTTTTGATAGTTTCATTGTAATTGCTGCAGTTTTACAAAAAATTCAAAGTCTAGCAACTAACTTTTTGGTTGCCAAATGTCCCTTTGGAGTCCTAATAAATGCCAGCAACTTGAAGCAATGGATGGAATGTAGAACTTGTTTAGATTATTTGGTACTAGCAATTTTAATTTCTTAGAAACCCAAAAGGCTGGAAACTGCAGTTTCTTTTGTTTGTTTACCTGAAAAAGTTGAAAGCCACATGTTTTAACAAATCATTATGTAACTCATCGATTAGAGTTTGAAATTTAATTTTTCAGCAAAAGAGGTAAGCATTTGGGGAAAGAGAAGTAGACTCGAGTTAGATAGAGAGAAGTCGGCGATAGGAGAGGTATTACTCTCTTTGCACACACACATCCACACATATTTCGGGGTACTTCTAAGTCATTGATCCCAACTCCAGTCTAACAAATATGGAGTACGGAACTATATCATATGGTGGCAACCCACACATAAAAATAGGCTTAAAACATAGGGGCGAGCATCAAGCCCTCATACATTGTCACCTTCTTGTGCCAAAAATTCTCTTAGTATACATTCTCAAATTATATTTTTAGTTTGTCACCTCTTATTAAGAAATTTTAAGTTAAAAAAAACAATGAAAATTTAATGGATTTACCAACAATTTTTTTTTTTTGAAAATGGATAGTGGAGATAATACATTACAAGATACACTTTTTTATAACTTGAAATCATTTTTTTTTCATATCGATATATATCTTTAGATTGAGATAATCAATTTAAGGTTTTTTTAGCATTGGAACAACATTTTTCTAATGGATTTTTGAGGTGCTTCTTACTTCAATAGTATAAGGTTAATATTTTGTATAAATGTTTTCCTTTATACACACAAGTTAATGCAAACTTTGGTGTTAGCAATGTTATTCGGACAGATCAATTGCCACTAATTATAGGTCTAGTTCAATTAAAATCGGTTCAACTACTGGTTAATCCAATTGAATCGAATTTTAAATACCTAGAAAAAAATATAATTGATAGTATAAAAATATAAATTACATTATAAAAAATCTTATCCAATTTTGTTTAGTCTGTCTCAAATTCATAGTAAGTATTAGCAGAGTTTTTATATTGGTTGCCTACCTAATACAACGCACCTCTTTTACCTGGGTTTGGGACAGGTTAAGGAAAATTTTAAGGTCCTCACCCTTCTTAGACCATTTGTTTAGTTTGTCTAATCGATCAAAATAAATTGGTTAGATCAGCCAAAACTAATTAAACATTGATTTTGACCGATTTATAATAAATCTAATTTTTAATTTAGCTCGTACCAACCAAAGCACTAGTCGATAGTCAGACCGACCATTCACTTTTTAACCATTACATATCTAAAATGTGTCATTAAATATGCTCAATGTAAGAAAAAAATTAAAACTGATGATCACCACTATCATAATCACTTATATCCAAATGTTCCCAAAGCAAGAAAGAAAAATTTTCAAATTAACACAGTATTAACATATCTCATTAACAATTAGGGACTTTGAAAAACTAAGACTTAAGCCACAAAATGTATTTAGGGTTCTCGAGAACCCGTAAATTGTGGAATTGGGAATCTTAAATATCGGGATCCCAACCAAAATCTTGTATATGAATGGCTAAATGTGAAGTAAATGAACACAACTATAAATCAAGTACGAGAACCAAAGAAAACATAAAAAATACACACCATCACAACACACGATTTATGTGGGTCACCTCGTGGGGCTACATCCATGGCCTCAACAAATCAAAATCCACTATCACAATGAAGATTACAGTTTTTGTTACGAGAGATATATCTCTCTAAACATCGGTAGAAATCTCTAACCAATCTTTCCTTCTAAACTCGCTATCCCGATCGCGTAACACCGTCGATCAATATCTTCTTTCCCACCACATTAACCGCTATCATAAATAACATTTCGAGAGCAACCAAAAAACTTTCTCTATCTAAAAGTGAAAACTTAACGCACCCAAAATCACATGAGAATACCTCCTCTCTATTGGAGGCTATCTTTATCTTTTGGAGACTCATCTCCATCTGGGATCTCTTTCCATAACCTCGAAAGGGGTTACCCTAAAAAAAATATGTATTATGTCTTTTTTAACCCTATTTTATAGGGATCACTTGAGCTTTTTTCTTATTTATTAGAAAAAAAAAAAACCCGTTTTTATTTTTTCCATAATAACTTGGGTTGGGCCACAACAAGGCCAACCAGACCCTCTGTTCTACTAGCACGTTACAAGCCCAGAGATAATTAATACACCAGCGGTAACAACTCTTTCTCCTATATTAAAGCAATCTCAACAAGCAATCAACGTTAAAAATTAACAGAAACATGACACGTAACCGGATTTTGACACGTGTCATAATCTTCACGTGTAATGTAAACATTAACTACGACAACAATTCCATCAATAACACTCTTTTCAACTCCCCATCACTCTCCAACCTCCCCCGTAACGTTTACTCGATTAACCGAAACAGCCAATCTCCGTTCCGTTCGTAACGGAAGTGACGGGAAAGTAGTCCGTCAATCCTAACGCCGTCAATTGAAAAGGCCGCGCATTGTCGCGGCTCCTCCCGAAGTCGCGCTCCAGATTGGCCATTGGACCACTGTCACGCATTTACTGATCTCCTTTTGTTGGTCTTTTCGGTTTATTATAACCTTACAAAAAACTTACAATTCCATGAAAGTCCCTGCAGCATTTTTCGTATCTTAGGCATAGAGAGTAGGGGTACTAATGATATTGTATGAATAGTTGAGGTAATAAATTGAATTTTCCGATTTTTAATTGAATATACCGGACCAGACATACCAGCTTCTTTTCCCACTCCTTTTCTCGTTAATTTTTCTCCATTTTTCTCTTTTTTTAAGCTCCTCTTCAAAGAAGGAACACGCAAAGCTTGATATAAAATAGCAGAGCTGGTTTACAGTGCATCAATGGCAGTTTCCTCTAATTTAAATTCCAGCAGTTGGGAGAAACGTGCAGCAGAGTAGAGAAACCGAAAAAGTACCTACCCCAAAGAGTAGAGAGAGAAAATGGAATAAAAATTTGGAGGTACCCAAATAACAGCAAATGGCCATGGCTTAGTGAGAGAAATAGGAAGAAGAGAGAGAAACTTCAGCCCATTTGCAAGGAAGAGAAAGAAAACCCATGTGGGTCCTCTCTCACCTGTAAATGACAGGCTAAGCCACAGGCTGGAAGTAGCTGTTAAAAGAAGTAGAACAAGGTTACATCACCCATTATCTCTTTCTCCCTCGCCATCGCCATTTCTTCTATTTGTGGATGGATTGGCTTCTTGTCTCTCTACTTCGCATAACCCAAGAACGTGCCCATCACTTATCTCTCACAAGGTAAGCATTTCTAGAAGGAGAGGGGAGACCCAAGTTCCCTGCTTTTTCTTCTGAGGTTAGAGAGAGACAACATGTTTGCTTCTTTTCTTCTTACAGAGAGAAACCCAAGTTCCTACCTTTCTTGGTCATGCATTCTCTGTCTCTCTTCTTTCATCGACCTCATTTGCTCTTAAGATCTGTTACTTTCTCTCGTCTTTATCTCTGAGGTGATCCTTTTTCTTGCTGAAACCTGGAGGGGGAAGAATGTGTCATTGTTTCTCTTTCTTCATGTGGTTGTGAAGATAGCGTCTGGAGAGGTTGTGACAGAAAACAAACCTACAAGCTTTCTTTTTTATTAGGTTTTGAGATCTTTCTGAACTCTCAAAGCATCCTATCATTTCGATTTTGAGCTGAAATGCTTGGATTGCATTGAAAGTTCCTATTTTTTGTAACTGCAGAAAAGCTATATTGATCCCATTTTGATTATAGTGGCTTTTAAACTGGATTGAGATCGATGGAAATGAAGTTGGGGTCCTTTGATTTGTCTTCTATGGCTCGTATTCTTCTTGTTCTTTGTGTTTTAATGGTTTCCAAGTCAACTGGCACATTTTTTCCCATTGATAATTACCTTTTAGCGTGTGGGTCTTCTCAGAATGTATCTTCACAAGGTCAGGTCTTTGTTCCTGATTCATCCCCATCTTCTCTTCTTCAATTAAATAAGGGCATCACTGTAAATTCTAGCTCTACTGCTCCTTCCCCAATTTATCAGTCGGCTAGGGTTTTCACTGAATCCAGCACCTATAAGTTTGACATCAACCAAAAAGGTAGGCATTTTGTTCGCCTTTACCTCTGTCCTCTTTCTCACCCCTCCTACAACCTAAAATCTGCTACCTTCACAGTAATCACCGATGAATTCGTTCTCTTGAGCAACTTCACCTTCAAAAACCAGACCACTAATTACCTCTTCAAAGAGTATCTGATCAATGTAACCTCTGATACTCTTTATCTCCACTTTGCCCCCTCAAACAATTCGGTCTCATTTGTTAATGGGATTGAGGTTGTTTCAGTACCTGATGAATTGATTCCTGATCAGGCTTTGGCTTTAAACCCCTTCACTTCTTTCAATGGCCTCTCTGGGTTGGCTCTTGAAACAGTGTTTAGACTGAATATGGGTGGGCCTATAATAATTCCAGGAAATGATACATTGGGGAGAAGATGGGAGAATGATCGGAGTTACCTTCATGTCAAAAACTCTGCTCAAAATTACTCTGTTAATCCTTCAATAATCAAATATCAAACTGGAGTAACCCCTGAAACTGCCCCTAATTGGGTTTATGCTACTGCTGAGAGGATGGGGGACGCAAATGTGGTAAATGACATCTTCAATATCACTTGGGTTTTCACTGTTGATCCCGAATTCATGTATTTTGTTCGTCTCCACTTCTGTGATATAGTAAGCAAAGCGATGAATGAGCTCATCTTCAATGTGTACGTGAATTCGGTTCTTGCCATGCCTAGCTTTGATATATCTGAGAAGACTGGGAGTTTGAATGTTCCTTATTTCAAGGATTTTATTTCCAATTCTTCTACAAATTCGAGTTTCCTGTATGTTAGTGTTGGCCAGGATAAATCAAACCCCTCTGATGCAATTCTAAATGGTTTGGAGATCATGAAGATGAGCAATGAAGCTAAAAGCTTGGATGGTAAGTTCTCTGTTGATGGGATTCTTCCTTCTATTGCAAAAAAGAAAAATAGTAAGGTGGGAATTCTAGTTGGTTCTGCTATAGGTGTAACAGTTGCCTTGGCCCTACTCGCTTTCTGTTACTGTTGCTTTGTGGCTCCAAGGTCCTCTAAGCCAAGACCAAAGTCTCATCCATGGCTTGCCTTGCCTCTATATGGTAACTCTCAAACTATGAGCAAGGTCTCCACCACCTCTCAAAAGAGTGGGACTGCAAGCTTCATCTCATCTGGGGTATCGAGTCTTGGTCGTTCATTCACTTTCTCTGAGATAATGGATGCTACTAACAAGTTCGACGAGTCTTTGCTTTTGGGTGTTGGAGGTTTTGGAAAAGTCTATAAAGGAACCTTAGAAGATGGCTTGAAAGTTGCAGTTAAGAGAGGGAACCCAAGGTCAGAACAAGGAATGGCGGAGTTCCAGACCGAGATTCAAATGCTTTCCAAGCTCCGGCATCGTCACCTTGTCTCTCTCATTGGCTACTGTGATGAGAGGTCTGAGATGATCTTGGTTTATGAGTACATGGCTAATGGGCCATTGAGAAGCCATCTATATGGAACCGACCTTCTCCCCCTCTCATGGAAACAGAGGCTTGAGATTTGTATTGGGGCTGCAAGGGGCCTCCATTATCTCCACACTGGAGCAGCCCAAAGCATAATTCATAGAGATGTGAAGACCACCAACATCTTATTGGATGAGAATTTAGTGGCCAAAGTTGCTGACTTTGGGCTCTCAAAAACAGGACCAGCATTGGACCAAACCCATGTTAGCACTGCAGTTAAAGGGAGCTTTGGGTACCTTGATCCTGAGTACTTCAGAAGGCAGCAATTAACTGAGAAATCTGATGTGTACTCATTTGGGGTTGTCTTAATGGAGGTTTTGTGCAGCAGACCTGCTTTGAACCCTGGTCTACCAAGGGAGCAGGTGAATATAGCAGAGTGGGCGATGGGTTGGCAGAGGAAGGGCATGTTGGACCATATTATGGACCCATTTTTGGCTGGCAAAATCAACCCAGGGTCTCTTAAGAAGTTCGGGGAGACAGCTGAGAAATGCTTGGCTGAGTATGGTGTTGATAGGCCCACCATGGGTGATGTATTGTGGAATTTGGAGTATGCACTTCAGCTTCAGGAGACTTCTGAGGTTGCTGATCCAGAGGATAATAGCACAAATCATATTGCTGATATTCAATTGGGGCAGCTCCAACCGATTGATAATAGTATGAGCATCATTCATTCTGGTGCTGATGATGAACCAGAGGATGCCACCACAAGTGCAGTGTTCTCACAGTTGGTGAATCCTAGAGGGAGATGAGGCAAGAGTGTTGAAATTTTATGATTTAGTTTTATTTTCTCAAAAAGCAACTCAGTCCATGGTCAGAATTGGTCCATCCTTGAGGAAGATGAGCTCAAGTTATTTGTTTTTCATGATATAAGTTGTATTTTCTTCAGGACCCATCTTGCTGCGGTCCAATATGGTCATTTGGTTGGGAATTTGATCTTGATGGAGACACCCCCACACGGGTTCTTTCTTTTGTCCCTCTGTGCTGCATCTCATTTTTCATTGCTACTGTCTGTAATATAAGCAAATTTTTCCGGGGAGTCCAATGTGCAATGTTGTGTCCATTTGTGTGTCCATCCTTCTGTAATATCTCAGACCAAGCTGTGCTTTCAATATCCAAGGCAGCAATGATTGGTTTGAACTTCTTTTACATGTAGAAACACTCCTGCTGATATGCTTATTGGAAGAATAAAGAGCGGCACTGCACCTAGGATCACAAATTTGTATCCAATCCATATTCTAAATGTTCTATTTTTTTGTTATGCAATTGTTTGACATTTTTAATTTGGCTCACTATTAAGGAAATGTTAAGCTTTGGATGTTCTCTTTTCTTGGTACTTCATTTTTCAAGAATAGGTCATATATTGCTATTTTTTCTTACAAACTGGGTAATAGCAATTATCCTTTGAGTTTGTTTTATTAATATTGATGACGAGAAAGAATTGTCGTAGAATCCCAATTACATTTTATCAAAATGATATGGTCTGATATTAGTTTTCAAGTGGTTCAGATTAGCTACACAATCAAACAGAGGAATTAAATAATACGGTATTTTGCTAGATGAATACGGAAAATTTTTCAAGATTTTATACGGACACCTTACGTGATGTTAATTGGTGATGCCTCCATGCAAATATCAGATAGAATACCAATATGTGGTTATTATTAGTCAATTAGGTGCCTGTCACATTATGTGTGCCTCCATGCAAATATCAGATAGAATACCGATATGTGGTTATTATTGGTCAATTAGGTGCCTGTCACATTATGTGGTCTCCTTCTCAGTGTTTCTCTCAAGTTGAACTTTAAAACCTAATGTTTCAAATTTTCGGTTTAAAGTTCCTAAATAACAGGAATATCTTGCAGGGAGATGAGAGTTGCAAAAAAATTATCCTCGACGTGTCTAGGAATTGGTGACATAATAATATATGCAATTGGTGACATAATAATATATGCAACAAATACAAGTAGAGAAGCCAAGAAAGATTATATGCTTGAGCAGGAGCACATCATCCATTCATTCCCTTGGGTTAATTCCTGTTTAAGGACGCAATCGTTTGGGGATGTAACCTCCTCAACTTGGTACCTCAAAAAAATACAAAAAAAAGGCACCGTATATGTGAATTAAAAAAGTGTCCAGAGATTGAAAAAAGACATACTCCCTTTTTTCTATTTTAATGAAAATACTCATCTAATGATTTTAAACTGGATCCCAAATTTCAAAGGGAACAAATCCTCCTATGTAACTCCTTTGCCCATGAAAGTAAGTGTTACAGGGTGCTCTTGCAGGAGTATGCTATACTTGCCCAAAAGAGAAAACCTGAAATTTGGAAGAAACCATGCATGACATACTTGATATCCCATAAAACATCCATCTTTAATGGAGGAAAACCTGTGGAGAATGTTTTCATTGAATTCTAAAAGGGCAACAAGAACCCTTGCAGACAATTGCATGATATGGATATGACTTAATACCATTATGACTATATATTTTTCAAATTTACTGCCATGACTATATATACTTACAGGAACAAGAATACTTTGACAAAGACAGAAATGCATACGTACAATGTAGCTCCTACCTTGTATGAGACAAATATATGCCATCACTTAGTGCATATAGAATGATAGTAGAATACTATTTATCATTTTTATTTTAGTTTATTTCTTAAAATAGAACAAGGGGATCAAGAAGACATTAAGTACACAGTGGTGCACAAATTTAAATTGGAGGTCCCATCATGTATACCGTATATCATGTGCAAGGGATTTGCTTGAATCTTCATCTTAATGCATATTTCATTGAGCTTTTAGTGATTTTTATGCATGTCTTGAGAAGATATGCCAACCTATGGTCGAGATATATAGATACAATCATGAGGCAGCTGTCTTTTGAGTAAATCTTCAGATAGTGTTGAAGGGTATGGCACCCATTGTCAGTTTTATTTGTCTCTCTACTCTGGATCAAGATTGAATTTTAGGGAGGAAATGTGAATATTTCATCCATTTGTCAGCTTTTGTATTTTTGTTAAATTTCAGCATTTTACTCAATAGCATCAATGTTTATTTGTATTTGAGTTACAATTGGTCTAAATTTTCCTCCTCTATTCAACAAGAATGATTTTTGGATGTGTCTATCCTGCGAATTGGCAGTTCGGTCTAAACTCTAAACTATGTTTGAACCTTAAGCCATTGGAGTTCTAAATTTTGACAAATCCTGAGAGTATAACAACATAAATTTTACCGATTAATTAGTTCCACTTTCTCAGAATACTTCATATGTGATACTTTTCAAGTACCAAACAATATGATGGATTTGTTGAAACTTTTCATTTGAGTTGCTCCATTTCTTTGTGATTAATTTTTCAGCTAGATGACACACAAAACAGATGGGTCAACATGCTGTTATGAAGAGATAGATGCTTTCCTATCACTCTCAACATTTTTTGGAGAGAGTAACAGAAGGCCAACTGGAGAGAACTGAAGAATTATTAAGACTCATATCAAAGATGCTTCTGCAAATTCATAGGGTATGGTTTGATGATCTAATTGTTATTTAGTATGAGCACAATGTGCTTCTATTGCAATATCACTCATATGGGTTATTGTGTTCAAATGTTTCTATGAATTTATCTCTAATTGCCATAGAATAAAAACAGTTTTACACTTCCCTGCATACTTAAATATGTTGCATGATTTCCTGTAGAATATCCAGATACGCAAGGACATGGTATGTGAACCTTAACTGTTTGCACATGCTTGACAATACGTTTCCATTGGATTTATACAATAAATGAATAACCATAAAATTACAGCCAAATTGTTTTGGAAACAGTTGGATGGAAAATGGAAGCATGTTCTTGTTAATCATCTACCTAGACATGATCATTAACTCATCAACTCATCAACTCAATTCTGCTGCGATCAGACTAGTACAAAGTAGATGTCAAACACCAATTAAGCATTTGGTTCCCTGAACTTTGCGTCCATATGCATTCTCCCTTCACCCCTTTTGTCATATGATCATATCTATTGTTAGTTTCTTTTGTGGCCTTACATTTAGGCTGTTCGTAACTCGATATAGTTTTGCTGAGGTGATATCAATGCTAGTCCAATTCAAAACATCATCTTGGAATAACATAATTGTGTTTATGTGCATATATATATGTATTTCGTATCTGAATTGTCCCAGTTTGGCCAAGACAATTCATTTTTGGGCATTTTGAGATAGCTTATGTGAATGGTATGGAGTTTTTCTAAATCAAACAATTGGATTTGGTTGGTTGTTTGAATGGACCCAGTTTCAGTCCAAAATTAATCTAAGAGAGTTGAACCCAAGACGTATCACATATATACCCACCTAAAAGGGGTGAATCTGACCAGCATGCCATTTAACACAGCATTACAAATGCGAAGGATATATTAATATATACATTAATTTGTGAGTTGATTTTTTTTTTTTGGGGAACTCGAACTCTACTCGGGAGGGTTACTCGGACTCTCCCAAGTAACTCAGCTTGACCAAGGCACGAGTACCTTGGCCGAGTCTATTTTCTGAACATTGCTAAGAGGTGAGGGAATCCCAAATCTGGTCAAAAGAGCCTCCAGCCATTCGGGTTAAAGATTACATATTGACTTATTATGCTACTAACTACAAAACCGTAGTCTAGGACCTACCCTAATCACTTGTCATAATAGCAATTTCATATATGATGCAATTAGGCTCTTATTTTTTTTAGGAGAGAAAAGTTGGGTTTTGGGATTGTTTGGGCCTTTAGTTTTCTTTTATGGTATTTGTGTCTTCCTGTTGTAGAAAATAAAGGTGTATGGTTGGAAACTTATTTTTTTAAAAGATGAAGGTTTAAGATTTACTATAGATTAGTTTGTTAGATTAATTGGTTCATTAAAGAAGACAAAGTACCCAATGAAATGGTGGGACACCATCACCAACTATTCAAGTAGCTTTTAGAAGATGTGCACAACAAGCTCAAGGTTAGGTGATAAAAATGATGCAATTGAGGGTGGTTTTTTGGTCATTTTACTTTTTTTACGAGATAAATATTAGGTTTTTTCTGTAGTAAAGAATAGATGGATATAGTTGGAAGTTCATTTCTTTAAAAGATTGAAGGTTAGGATTTAATATAGTATGGGGATTACTGGATAGCAAGTTATGTTTAGGGTTGTTTTCTTTTATAAATACGAACCTACTGGAACATATAGAAGAATAGAAGAGATAAATTTATTTTGGATATTGTTAAGAGATCTTTTTAAGGGGTGGACACATGTGCTGACCTTGAGAAAGAGAGAATATTATCTTATTGTTTGTTTTTATCTTTTATTTTTCTGATTTCTTCGTTTTATTTTTATACTTCCCTACATCAAGGAAAAAGCTGATATCCAAAGGTTAAGAGGGTGAAAGAGCTTTACTTAGAAAATGTGTGATTGGGAGGGTATCTGGATTTTTAACATAATAGCATCATTTATGCGATTTGCTTTAGCAAGTCAAAAAACATTGAAGACATCATCTGCAAAATGGCAAAGGTTTGAAACTATTATTCAGTTAGGTGAGTTTTTATGGCATGTACGATATTTTTGGACTGTATCATCCTAATAAGCTTTTGGGGCATGTGAGAGACCTTTTGACCTTCCTTTTGCAATCATGATCCCACATGGCTTTGCATTCGACATGTCTACATGCATAAAGTGGATCCTCAGAGAGAGAGAGAGAGAATCATTGCATAAACAAAGACTCATGGTTGAACATAAGAACTCTTTATTAGAATACCAAACAAGAAGAAAGGAAAAATTCACTACAGGAAAACAGTGTTCAATAGTGAGAATATGGAAATTAAGATGCATCAACGAAATCTATCATAAAGGGTGGTTTTGAAGTTTAAAAACCCTCTAATTGATCATTTCGATCCATATATATATATATATATATATATATATATATATATAGAAGTACGTGGGTAGTCTCTACTAGCTCATATAGTAATATAATAAGTACCAACGGCTACTAGTATTAGTATTTAGTAGTACGTATACTAAT